GAAAAAAGAGAAAAAAAGGAACACTTGCTCAAGATTTTTATTTTTAGGTAAATCGGCAACCTCTGATTGTAATGGTGTGTATGTATACTGTCGATCATTCTATCAATTGTTATTACAAATCTAGTTTTATATCACCGTCATCTCTATGTGACTGTTAACTGGTTTTGTATCTGTGGCGTTGGTTACAGAGTGTATACATAAATAAAAGACTTGATTCAGCAGCTTTCGTCATTAAACTATCGAGCCCTTAACTCTTCACCCGACATTTCAACAACCCCCGCTCGCACCAAAAAGCAACAACCTCGCAAAAAAGCAAAAAAATGTATGTATAAATTTGACAGTTGAGAAGTGTTACTAACAGTAAAGAAGTAGCAATAATACTTTTGAATATTGTTGAGAATGGAGAGGAAAAATAAGGAAAGAGTAGCAGGTCAAAGTTATTACTAGACTGGCAACATGGTTGTTAAAAGTTGGCAGTGCGAGCATTGTTTGAGTAGTATTAGGAAGGAAGACTGGTATTCTTTGGGACCTTTTTACTTTCATTGTGGAGGGCAGTACTAGTGCATATAGAATTCAGTTGCACCGCAGTTAGCAGCTGCACAGTATGTCACTGACAACAGACAGACAAGCAAACTAAATAGTTCCCGTCAAGTAACAAGCTGTGATGATAGATAAGCACGAATATACGCTTTATATGAAAAGCGTTTTCATTCATATTGTGGCATTGCCACTCTGTTGTTGGCTATAACACCTCCTTTTACTATGTTTTCATTGTCAAAATAACTGTCTTGTTAAGCTCACAATACATATATATATTTGTTTTTATTGTAGGTCTGACCAATATGACCCATACGTTCCAAAGAATGGTTCCGCAGGCGGAGCACCGACAACAACTGCCATGATACAGGCACAGATCGACGAAACTGTCGGTATCATGCGTGACAATCTTAATCGCGTTGCCGACAGGGGAGAAAGACTCGACGCTTTGCAAGATAAGACCGAGAACCTTTCCGTCTCCGCTCAAGGCTTTAGACGAGGTGCCAACAAAGTAAGGAAGCAAATGTGGTGGAAGGATATGAAGATGAAGATTATCATTGCGATTGCTATCCTTGTTTTGCTGGTTATAATTATCGGTGAGTGGTCAATATAATATTTTAAGAGAGAAAGAAAGCATACACATCAATAATTAACGTTTTAACTGTCCAATGCAATTTTATAGTCCCAGTCGTTGTCTCAAACAAAAACAAAAAATAATCGCAGTACTTATGCCCCACCCCATCTCCATTCCTCTGTGTGTATTATTTACTCATTCAACTATTGGGTTCGATATAATGGTTACTTTAATACGTTTCATGCATTTATTCATTTTTTTATACTGTGAAGAGAATAACGGCCAAATAATAAAGTAAAATAATGATGGTATTCATGGAAGAAAGAGGAAGGGTTCAAAAAAAGGGATTATAAATTCAAATAGTATTTATCTGCACTTGATCAAATATCAGCTTTTATTATTGCTCTTTCTTTGATACCCCTTATCCTGTTTTTTTATGTGACGTTCTTATATTCTGTCTTTTACTTGTATTAATAAAATATTGACATTTATTCGTACATTGATTTTCCCGACTAAATTACAGTTTGTCTTTCTTTCTTGGACTCACCTTTACAAACAATTATAGAATTCGATTGTCATTCAAAACTGTCAATATCAGTCAAAAGTAAAGTGGAAGGACGATGTGGCCATTCGTCGAAAATCTCTGCAACTTCGATGAACTGCTCTGCCGTCATATCCACAACACGAATGTCAGGGTTAAAAGAAAGATCGTTTAGCAAAACATCCGCACCCGCACCGAGAGATCTAAGTAAAAAAAAACACCGTGTACTAGATTAATCGATGAGCGTAATCGGATAAAATCTGTTCTTGTCGACTTACTTTATAGATTTGCTCAGCATGACTGTCTTAACCAAGAACAGTTGCCTGATAATGTAAGCAAATGCGTCCCAAGTTGGCCCTACAAATGGGAAAGAGAATAAAAAAATCTGGCCTCCGTTTGGCAAACAATTGGGAGGGGGAGAGGAGGAGAAAAAACATACCTT